CTTTCTGGGTCAGTTCCGTCGGCACAGCTTTCCCCATGCCTGCCCCCTCACAAGAGACAACTCATTCAGCCCTTCACCCTCTCAGCCCCTCCCAACCCCATAGGATGCCCAGGACAGCTGGGACCGGGAAGGGGGATGTTGGCTGACCTGTTCCGGGGAGAAGGGAGCCCCCTGACCACCACGGGCCTCCGCCATCCTGGGATGAGCAGTGGGGAGCTCGGGCGGCGCAGTCCGAGACTCATTCACACCTCTGCCAGCTCAGCCCTCCCAACTCCCTGGTACTCCCTCTGCCGCGCTTGGCCAACGTCAGAATTACTTTCACCTCATCTCCTCCCGAGCTCTGCCTTCTCCAGCACCCCCCCCAATCCTCCCCCCTCCAGTCCCCATGCAGCCCGGATGATTCAGAGCAGCCTCTGATGTACTCCCCTTGTTTCCCAGCAAGTTCTTGGAACAAAAAACACACACATACTCACACCCGCAGAGGCTCCGCCACCCTCCCAAGACCCCAGCCCAACAGGGGGCAGCAAGCCCTGGGAATGAATGAGGCCAGAGAGGCCCCTCCAGTCCTACAGGAGGGACCCAAAATGTGGTCAGGAGGATGGACCACGGCCTCTAGGGATAAGGAGCTGGTGCCAACACACTACCGCCATTGCCACCATCCCACCCAGGGTCCTAGATTGAGGGCTGAGAGGGCCCTTGAAGGCCATCTAATACAACCTCCTATTTTACAGACATGGAAACTGAGTCTCCAAGACCTACAGTAGCCTCAAGGCCCAAAGCTGTAGAATACACAGCTAGGAAGGGAGAGAGCCAAGAGCTGACGGTCCTGATGCCAAGTCCTGTATTCTTTCCACTCTGTTTCCCTGTTCTCAGAGAGGACTCAGAATGCCACCATCAACCTGTGGAAACTGACAGAAATCCTCGCTCCCTGCCCAGTGGTGAGACATAGCCACTTTTCAATTCTGGACAGGAAGAAGGTCAGCCAGAAACAAAAATTCTAGCTCCTCTCTGGTCCCGAGGCATCACCTAGGTACTTGCCAGCTCCCAGGCACAGGCACAGGTCTGGGGGAGCAAAGATTGGCATACATTATCAATCAGGATAGGAGGGAAGAAACCCATCCTTCCGAGGTCCGTAAAGTCTTTCCCTCAAAAAAAAAATCAGACTGAAACTCTAGGGGCTCCCAAAGTCTTAAGGATGTGACGGAGTCCAGGAGCACTTCTCCTACCCCCAGGTGCCTCCCCTGAGGCCAGAGGGCCCAGGCACTGATGTGGAGCCGGGAGAGGGAGGGGGAAGAGTGCTCATTGACTCCCCAGCCCATTCCTGGGTTAGACTTGTTCCTGCTTCCGACCCCTGGCGTGGTTACTGACTTCAGGAAGGGCCAGTCACCCACAAGGTCCAGGGTAAGCGCTGGGCTCTGGCTGCCCTGGCCTGGGCGAGGTGCCCAGAACACACAGCCCTAGCCCAGGGACAGGAGGAGGCAGCAGCCCAGCTGGGCACTGGCCTTAATGAGGCCTCATTAGTGGGATCCAGCTGCTCCCAGGCCCACTTTCTTAAACAGTCTCCCCAGTTCCCTTCCTGTGCCATGCAGGCCACTCTGACCCCTGGCCCTACCCATCAGAGCTGCCACAGTGCCAGAAGGGTATGGAGCCCAGATGCCCTAGAGAGTCAGGCCTGACCCAATGCAGGAGGGATGCACTGAACTGAGGTGCAAAGGCCAATGGGCATCATAGGGCTGGCCTGGGGTGACATGTGCTCATAGAAGAACCAGGCTGCCAAAGAGGCACAGAGACGGGAGATGACCAGAAAGAACGGAAAAGGGTCTCAGGGGCCAGGAGGCCCATGGGATGGACCTTTCCCCTCTGAGCCTGCTTCCTCAGGGACATTGGGCTTCTTCATATCTGCAGTTCATTCACTGAGGCACTAGCCCCACCTCTCACTCAGGCTCACAGCCTGCTGGGCTGGGGTCCAGCTGGAACGGCCTGTGGCCACATTTCTGGGGCTATTTAAGTCCCTCAGCTTGGCCCACCTGCCCCTCCCCATGGGCCCTGGGCTCTGTCACACTTCCCTGGGTCCCTAGAGAGGGCGGCCAGAGCCAGGGCCCTAGACAACCTCCTCTCTAGGGTGGAGGGAGAAAACCAGCAAACAGGTGTCTGGGACCAGGGAGGAGGCCTGGCTGTCTGGGCTATGGTCCTTCTGGGCCCAGGCTGAGCTGCATCCAGGTGCCCTAAGCTGGAGCAGAACTGCTATGAAACCCCCTTACTGGCCTACCTCCAGAGGAAGGAAAGGGCATCCTCCTGGAGAAGGAAGGCCCCTGCTTGGCCCCCACCCCTCTAGTCTCCTGGTTTGGGGGGGATAGGTAGGTTTGGAGGTAGCCAGGGGTGGGCTTGAGAAGATGCTGCGGGGGGAGATGCTTTGGAGTCCAGAACACCAGGTTGGAAGCAGCCTGTTTCCTCCTCTGCCATGGGCCCCTAACTCCCAGAAACCACTGCGGAGGGATTATCAATAGCTCATAGCACCTGGCTTGTCCCCTCAGAGCACACCTCACCTTTCCCAATTGTGGAGTGCACACAGGGGGAGGGGAGGATGGCCCCTGAGCTACCAGGCCAGCCTTTTCTGTCTGGACAGTCCAGTTTATCCTTCAAGCTTCTCTCTGGCCCTGCAGCTGTCCCTCCAGCTTCCGATGGCATAGCCCCCCACCCAAGGGCTCCCTGGGAAAGGGCTTTATTGTGTTGTCACTAGGCCCCCCTCCATTCTGATTCACTCTCACCCTCTGCATCTGCCCCAAAGTCGTCCAGCTGCTCCCCTTGCCCAGGGGCTCCATGGCCAGCTGGCCTCTCGGGAGCCCATGTCCTGGGAGCCACTGAGGCGTGAGTGAGGCAGCCAAGCCAGCCTGGCAGAGCCCATCTGGGCTGGGAGGTATGGGGAGGGGGGCACGTGGGATTCAGGCACAGACACATGCTTCAGAGCTGCCCACTCTCACCATTCCCCTGCCTCCACGGGAGAGGCCCAAAGATATGTAGCCCCTACCGGGAACTCGCTGGACCTATGGTGACCCTAAAGGCATCCAAGCCTGGGTAGCTGGGGGCACCTAACATCCTATCCCTCCTTGTTGGCATCTTTGTGCCCATCACGACAGAAGAATGACTTCTCTGTGCATAAGGAGGGAAACCAAGGCTCAGAATGTTGGGTGCCAGATCAGAGTCAGAAGCACAATTAGCATCCATGGTCCTCCTTCCAGAGAATACACTGGAAGGAGCAGAGCAGATCTGGCTGCTCCTGCCCATGGCTAAGGGACCTACCGTTGCACCCCTCTTCCCACACCAAGAGGACATTCAGCTGTTGGCCAGGCAGCCTGCATGGGATCTCCCTCTCCCCCAATCATCTGGCTGGGCTCCAGCTGCTCAGTAGAGACTAAAGCCTCACTTGGAGACTGTCCGGGAGATATCTTCACCCCTGATCCTGATTCTGAGGGAGCCCCAGAACCACTAGGTTTATGCGGAGGTGTGCAGCAGGGGAAAAACTGGGAGACCACGTGGGGTGAGCTTTCATTGCCACAGAAGGCCAGGGCAGAGCAAGCCAGAGACCTGGGGCAGAAGGGGCCTGCTGGCCTGGGCTTGGAGGCTGGCTGCCAAGTTCTACACTGAGACTGCACAAACCCTAGAGGAAGGATAGCTCCACAGGTCCAAAATGGGAAGCCTGAGAACAGAGGTTTGCCCAGGATCCTCAGAGGGACGGAGGCCAAGACAAGATTAGAATGTCAGAGGCACCCAGCGGGACCTCCCAACCCTGGGATACAGGCTGGAAGCAGGGAGTCCAGCTGTGGAGAGGGCAGAGGGCAGAAGCCAGGCCGTATACTGCTAACTTGGGCAGAGAGGGGAGCTCTGGGAATGGGACTGTGAGCAGGCGCAGACCAACAAGGCTGTTCTGGCAGGAGGCACTAGAGATCCCACTGACTGGGCCTGCTACAGGGGTCCCTGGCTCAGGGATGTTCACACCAGGTTCATGTTCTTCCTACACAGGTGCCCAAAGTTACCCTTTCCCACACCTGACCGCTGCAGCCTCTTCCCACTGGGGCTCCCCAGCCTAAGCAGAGGCCCCTGGCTTGCTTTCCAGGAGCCTCACTGGGTCTCCCTCCCCTCCACAGATTCAGACCAACTCCCAGACCATGGAGATTTTATGAACCGTCACATCAGGCAGCCCTGAGCCTCCTGGTACCCTTAGATCTCAGACTCACTCTGGAGCAGCTCGCATAAACTAAGGTCAGGACGGGCCTGCCTGTCACCAAGCAGCCCCTCTTGGTTTTTGGAGCAGTCTCAGGTCTGACCTTAATTAAGCTGTATCCCCTCAACTAAGGTCAATCTTTAATTGGATGGGGAAAAACAAAAGAAACAAACTAGAGGAGAAGGGGAGGGATAGCATTCGCAGAGGCCTCCATACCCTACCTGGGTTTGAAGCCCAGAATGGTCCAGAGAAAAACAGCTCCAGAGTCTGTGAGATGGGGGTCTAGGCAGTGGTGGCTACTAGACTGGTCTCGTCCGCCTGCTTCTGCTACACCCCTCACTGGGTATCCCTTCACACCTGCTCCTCCTGCAACCCACTTTCTTCCTGTCCCAAATCCAATCCCAGGTCCACACCAGGGCTCGGGGCAGTGAGAGATGAGGCAACTTGCCCTATGACAGGCCCAAAGGAGGGAGACAAAATGACCTCTCCTACTGCCCTATGTTAATTTTCTGACAGAGGAGACTGGGAGTTTGGAGAACGGAGATGAAACCAAGAGCCAGGCACCCAAGATACCTGGATCCTTAGAGTGGGGCCCCTCCCTGCCTGCCTGTGCCTTGAACAGCCCACTTTCGGACCCGCTCAGTAAGGGCTTGACTTCTCTACTAGTCTTTGCTGTTGGCTGTGCAGTCCCAGATCAAACAGTCCAAGAATTGAGGGGAAGACCCAGGAGTGGGCACGGCTGCCATCTTGCTCCTTGACCGGATCCAGTAGTACTCACCTGCAACCCTTTGACATTCTTGACTGCCATGGTGACCCCAGGGAATCAGGCTGCCGTGGGTGTGGGGCTCTGAAGGCCCGGGCAGCACTCACGGTCTTGGGTTCCAGCTCTGTTCAGGCCCCTGGCATCAAAAGCTGAAGGCAAAGCACAAGAGGGCAGAGGTCAGTGAGTGCATGGGCTGCATCAAAGAAGGGAGCACGATAGTCTTGGGGCACGGGGATTGGAAAGATGTTCTTCAGTCAGGCTGATCTCCAGCCCAGGCTTTGGGGTGGAACAGATGGATTGGACAGTCCTGGAAGACTGACATCATACCCACTCAGGCCAGTGATTTCCATCTTCCCCAGCCTGGAAGCACACCTTGCCCTTCATGCTACCCATCATAGGGCATCTCTTTTCTGCCTCCAGAAACAAGGACATAAAGAGGTAGAAGGGACCTCAGAGCTCATCTATCAGACCCATGGGCCCTTTCTTCTCAATGGATAAAGGTATATTTTTGACTCTCCAACTGCCCAATTCTATGAAAGATTTTTTAAGCACGCAGCACACACACACACACCCCAACAACCCACAAAAACCAGACCTGGGCTTATGGCCAAATCTTTTATTAGCAGCCTGGATCACAGTTAATTCTTCCCCTTGGGGGGATGTGGCTCAGACCAGCAGCCCCTCCCCACCCTCCACTCTCACTCTGCCCAGGGTTGCCTATGCTGTGGGCTCTTGCCAGATCTGGGTCTGCTCTGCCTGGCACTTCCAGGGCCTTCCATGTCACACCTGCCAAAGAGGATGAGAACTGTGGCTGAGGGGTGATTCCAGCACTGATCTTCCCCTTCAGTGTCCCAGACCCTCATATGGGAAAGGTGAGGCTGAAGAATGATGGAGGAAGGCCCAAGGAAGGCCTAGAGAGGTTAATGAACTTGTCTGGAATTACACAGCTGGTAAGTTAGAGTCTGCTTGGGCTTTCCTGACTGCCAGTCTAGAGCCCTACCTACATTGCCACCCTAGTGTGGTCACCCCGAGCTAAGTTGCTAGATTGGGGCTATAAGGAACTAGGTAGAGACAAGCGGCTATGTAGGCTGGGCCTGTCCTAGATTCAAGAGGCCCTGCTCCAGTTTCCTTGAGCTAGATGGTCTTGGACCTTTGACCATTTTTTTGTCCTTCCTGGATTCCCAGGAGGCTTGGCCCAGGGCCCCTCACGACTCCATGCCACCCTTCCCTGGGCCATGGGAAGCTTTCTTTCTCACCCTCTAGGATACATGGGAAGGGGGAGAAGCTGATTTTCCTATGCAAATCCACGTTGTCCTTCTTCCTTTGCCGGTCGATCTGGTTCTGCCACTGGAACCTCAACCCCAGGCACTTGGTATGAGAAGGATGGAGAAGGGGCCCTTGCCCAGGTGTTCCTCCTGCCTCTGGTCCTCTAAGGCTAAGCCTCACCGACCTTTTACCTCTTCTGTGCCAGGTTTCTGCCTGCTCAGAGCTGGCCTTTCCCGAGCTGGCATAAGAGGCCAGGGTCTTCCCCAGCCCGACCCCCAAACACACCCTGCTTCCTCAAGGTCTCTAGGTCGCTGAAGCTCAGGGACCCAGGCCTCCCTCAGTTTCCCTACCTGGAGGTCTGCTGGTGACTGCTCTCTGGAGGGGGGAAGGCGGCCAGAGTGGGCGTGCCGGCGCCCGCCGGCCTGCTCACCATCGCCGCCCCAGCCTGGCCGCCTCCGCTGTCGCTGCCGCAGCCGTGCAGACCCCGCAGGCCCCCTTTGTCTGTCCTCCCTGGTCCCGCGCCTTCGCTCCCCACCCCCCCGCCCCCCTCTCATCCCCCAGCTTCTCATCGGCTTTAGGCCTTCTCTGGGGGGCCAGCCTGGGCTGGGCTTTGGGAGCAGGGTGGGGTGGGGCGTGGGGGTGGAGATGAGCAAGCTCCCCGGCCCAGGAGGTCAGGGGAGGGGGATGCGGCCCCTTTAAGGATCGTCAAGCAGAGGGGCGCGGCCTCCTCGGGCAGTTTAGTCTGGCCGGGGGAAAGACGAGGGGCAGGGGTATCGGAATTGGGGGCCTCAGAGCGCCTCTGGAAAAGGCTCCCTGCACCTCCGTTCCGGAGGGGGCGGGGCGCTGCCCCTTTAAATGCGGCGTAGGGGAGCCAGGGTTACATCAGCCGCCACGTGTGGGCTTCCTCAGCTGGAGTGGGAGCGGCGGCCGGCCCCGCCTCCGGCACATGCCGTGGAAAAGTACCGGGCCGCTTCTGCTCCGCCCCCCTCAATCTGCTCCTCCCCGCCCCAGCCGGAGGGGGAAACAGGAGGGAGGGAGGGGCGGGGAGATAGGAGGGAGGGGCGGGGCTCGGGAGGCTCCCCGCCCTCACCTGTGGCTGCTCCGGGAGGCGCCGCCTCTGACCCTGGCCCTGACCCTGGCCCTGACCCCGACCCTGACCCCAGACCCGACACTAGCCGTGGCCCTGGCCCTGACTCTGACTGCGATTCGGCCCTCCAAATGTCCCTCCTCCCGTGTCTTTTGGAGGGCATGGAGCTAGTGGCTGCGGCTAGGGCCGAGGAGGGCCCACAGCGCCCCCCCCCCCTTCCAGGGAAGAGAGAGGTTGATGGAGAGATCCAGGCTGCTAGGGACCCGGGGAGGGAAACCTGGCTGGGCTGGGAGAGGGCGATGCGGGGCGCCCTGCCGGTGGCTAGGCGAAAGAATGCCGACAGAAACTCGCGCACGCACGCACACCACACACACACACACACACACACACACACACACACATTCTCGGAGGGGGTGAGAGTCCCCCACCCGCTGCCAGCCGCCTGCTCGCCCCTTCCGACTCCAGTGATGCCCGAGAGCAAGCCGTAGCCAGCGCCCGCGCGGAAAACGGCAACGGCAGGCTGCTTCCTCCCCCGGCTACCTTGGTGACAGACACTAAGTGGGGCCACACACACACACTCACGCACATTCACGCACGCGCGCACACGCTCGCGTACATTCGCATACACTCGCACACACAGCTACAACGGGCTCTGAGGCGCACAGGTACCCACGGAGACCCACATCCTGGGCATCCGACATCATCCACAGACACGTTGGTTGCAGGCGGGTATGCACACACTCGCACACGCGCAGCCGGGTGGGAGGGCGGCATTGGCAGGGAGCACGGGTGCTCTCACTCACACGACACCGAGAGAACCCGGCACACACGGAACCACAAACGCTCAGGATACCGAGGCAGGAGCAGCACATAAGGCCGGTGCAGACACACAAACAAACACACACACACACACACACACACACACACACACACACACACACACACACACACACACACACACACCACGGAGGAAGACACAAGCCAGAGAGACAGGCACAGATGCCCGCCTCGGGGACGAGCAGGCAGAGCCCCAGACACCGGGACAGCCAACACACACACACACACACACACACACCAGTTTCCCTCGATCCCTTCATTTCCCTTTACCATGGTCCTTGGTCCCTGTCCTTCCTCGCTCGAGCCCTTAGACCCACGGGCCGCGGACTGTCCAGGTGGATTTCTTAAAGGGAGAGTTGCATCAGCCTGGCCCAGGCGGAGGCTGCTGTGGTGTCCGTCTCCCCGACTGCTCTGCTCCAAGGCTTCTCCCGAGCGTGTTGTGTTTTGTGTGTTGGGGGCGTGGGGAGGGAGGCGGGGGCCCAGAGTTTGGTGCAAGTTTGGAGAACCGAGACGGCTTCGGAGCCCCAGCCAAGCCCCTCCCCCTCGCAGCTCCCCGGCCCGCCCCCCTAACCCGTCCCCTTTCTCCCCTCTCCCGCCCCCGCCGCCGGTCCTTCTGTCTCCCCCAGGCTCCTCCTTCCGAGGAATAAGGTTACCAGCCTCCACTGCCGCCCTCCGGGGCTTGAGCGTCCAGAAGACTGATTCTTCCCCCAATGCCTCTGGGAGTTGGCCCCGGAGGCCGGGGCTTACCCCTTCCGACCCTGCAGTCAGAGCTGGGGCGCTGCCTGCCCCCCACTCCCAGAGTGTGGAGAAGCCAGCAGCTGGCTCCCCTTGGACCCTGCAGGCGGGAAGGGGGGCAGCCCTGCTGAGCCCCTCTGTTTTCTCCATCCCCTCCGACGAAAAGCAACTGGCAGTCGTGGGGGCCTCTTTGGTCAGGCCTGAGGGGCAAGGTAGCCCACTGTTTCCGCACTGGCCTGGGCTGTAGTCTGCCTGGGAGCTGAAGGGAAGGGGACTACTGTGTGTGAAGAAGGGACCTGCGTTTGAGTTGGGGAGGTCAGAGGTGACTTTTCTCTGAAGACCAACTGCATTTCTCCTCCCCCAAAGTGCCCTGTGGCAGCTTCAGCTGGCTTGACCAGGAGTGAAGGGTGTATGGTGTTAAATCCTCCACACTGCAGAACTCCTTCATCCTGCTTCAGGGCCCGACTGAGCCAGGATCCTGGCCTTTGTGACCCTGGGCTAGTCATTATTCTTCTTTCTGAGTTCTCTTTGAGAACTCAGGCCTTTAGACCTGGACCTGTCTCCTCTCCCAGGGCAGAGAGGAAGGTGCTTCCAAACCTTTAGGTTACAGAAATATCAGTTAATGTAGAGTTTGCTGAATTGACTCAAGGCTGTGGGGGAAAGGAGAGATTGAACAGAGAGTCCAGAGCCCTACCTTTTCCTCCCAACTTGACCACTCATTTGCTGGTTGACTTAGAAGTCCCTTCCTCATTCTGGGTCTGAGTTTACTCATCTTATAACTGGAAAGTGAAAGGTCTTGGAGTATAGAGGCAGAGACCATGAAATAAGTTGAGGGGTGTGTGCGTGTGTGTACGTGGGTGTATCTAGGTAGATTAGGGCTTGGCTTTTGAAAGCATGCAGCGGTGTGTGCCAAGGCAGAGCTCTGGGGCCTGGGCCATGCCCCTCCTCTCCTTCCCTCTTGCTCAGACACAGCTCCTTCTCTTCTCCTCCTCACAAGTGGGCTGGGCAGTTCCTCCCTTCCTTTAGCTCCCCCTGGGCCTGTGGGGAAGCAGGAGCCTCACCTTCCTGAAAGGGTCCATGGGCCCCTGCCTCCCACCAAGGGTTGGCCATGGCCCTAGATGGGGTGGTGACCCCATAGTTATTTTCCTTCCTCTCCCCCCTAGTTGCCGACAAGAAACCAAGGGTGGAGAGAGCATCCCCTCCTTTCCCCCAGGGTGTCAGCTTAGGGTGAAGTAGAATTTCACCTCTCCTCACACTTTTAAGAGAGGAAACTGAGGCACAGGACAGGGAAGAGATGTATCCATGCTTCTTGCCCAGCAATAGTAGAGTCTAGCTCAGGGGTGGGGAACCTGCAGCCTTGAGGCCACATGTGGCCCTCTAGGTCCTCAAGTACAGCCAAACTTCACAGAATAAATCCTTTTATTAAGGGGATAAGCTAGACTCTAGCCTCTTCCCCAGGGAAACACCACAAGGAAACAGCCTTTATAAGACTCATAGAAATCTGCCATCAGCCTGGGGGTTGGGGTGAGAACAGAGTGTGAGGACCCCAGACAAATAGCAGCCCAGTAGGAGGGGAGAGGATTTGCCCCTGATATTGGGGGAGCCACTGGGGGCTTCTGAGTCTGGGAGTGGGTGGATGGGGAATTAGTTCTAAGGGAGGGCGGCTAGTTGTGTGTGAGGATTTAACACAGCCCAGAGTGCTAGCAGCATGTGAGCATGGGGGAGCACATTAGTATGGAAGACAAAGGTATCCTGGGGAGAGTGTGAGCCTTGGGGAGTGGAAGGTGGGAGAGAGACCTAGAAGGACCCAAGGGAGGGCTAGAGTTATCATTCTGGGGTGCTGAGTGCCTAGGCAGATGTTGGATCTTCCCTTTCTGGTCCCTGTGGGGGTCACAGACTGGGTGAATCTTGCCCATGTCTTTCCATTGAGGGGGACCCAGCCTGGGGGTATGCCCAGGGTCCTGAACTTTCTTTCAGTCTTGCTCCAGGGCTGACCCACCTGTTCACACAAATCCTTAATTATGTCTTACAACCCATTTAGGTTACACCACTGTCTTTGAATCCACCAACAGGCACCTCTCCTGTGCCAGGCCCTGAGGTAGCTATGGAGATGTGGAGATGTGAAACAGTGCCTGCCCTCAGGAAAGGCACTACCCACACCTATCAGGTACAATAAGTACAAGGTGGTTTAGGAGGAGGGTACCTGCAGGAGACGGAGATCTGGGAAAGCAGGCCACACACAACAGAGAGTAACTGAGCGAGCCTTAAAGTCCATGGAGAATTCTCTTGAAGCTCAAGGGTGGCTCGAGGCATAGGAGACTGTCAGGGGAAAGGCATCAAGCTTTGTGGGTGAGGAACAGCAAAAGCAGACCGGGGGTGGGGAGGTGGTGGAAATTGGGTCATCCTGTCCTTGGTCACCAACTCTCACCTGTGGCTCCAAGAGGCTGTAGCAAGGGCAGCAGCCACACCCCAGCAAAACCGTCTCCTCGAAAGGACTAAGCCAGGTGGAGGGCAACAGACCTGTTGGTGAGTTAGTGAGGTGTCCACCCCAAGCATGTGAATAAAGACTTCCCTCAGAGGAATGGGTGGCTGAGAACAGTTTGTTCCAATGATGGCCATGAAGGTGACTGGAGCAGGTGCTGTGGAACACTTAGAGCTTGGGCAGACAGTGAAGATGCCAAGGCCATCCACTGCATCCTGAGCCATCACCTGGCATCCTGACTCTTATCTTGCCACTGGACTTTAATGACTCTGGAAGAGAGAGTAGGATGAGGACTCTGCAACTCTGCCTCACTGAAATCCAATTCAGCAGCAGGTCAAGTCATCCCCCAGTGATCTCATTGGTCCTCTTCCAAAATGAAGGACAAACAACAATTGTGCATGAAGAAGAGTCATGTTTGAGAAGACTGGAAAGCTAGGGAAGCACTGAGTCGGTCCCTCAGACAATAAACTAATGTTTACCTGCCATGTGCCAGGCTTGTTACTAGGTGATGGGGATATGAAGAAGGGCAGAAGACAGTCTTTGCCCTCAAAGAACTTACAGTCTGAGAAAGGAGAAAACATGCAGGGAACTACGTAACCAAGAGCTATATGTAGGATAAATTGTAGATGATCAACAAGAGGGAAGGCACTAGAATTAAGGCGGATCAGGATGTTACCATTGTTGTTTGTCCTTCGTTCTCCACGAGGACATGACATCCGAAAGGTGATTTAAGTGAGGGAGGGCTGTGCAAAGTCA